GAACTCACGACATGCAATAGGCTCAAGTTACAGGAAACCAGATTTCAGCTGAATATCAGGAAAAACTTTTTAACTGTTAGAGCAGTAAAGCAGTGGAATCAATTACCTGGAGAGCTGGTGAGTGTTCCAACACTGGAGGCATTCAAGAGAAATGCAGAAAACCACCTGGCAAATATCCTTTGATTTGTATCCCTGAACTGAGCAGGGGGTTGGACTTGATGGCCTTGTAGGCCCCTTCAGACTTCATTATTCTGTGAAGGAACCCAGTACTCTTAGAGATCAACAAAGTGAAGACAAGAAGCTCAAAGAACTGAAGGCTGAGGACTTCCAATAGTTCCTGGGTTTTTTACTTTCCATTTCACTTGCCTTCATTAGACTATCCAAACAATGGCTGGAATCCTGTTGCTTAGTGTAGTAGATCACATCTACAATACACCCACTGAATATGTAGGGATTTGTTGAGTCAAGGCCTCTGTAAGTTCAATCGATTCAAGTGGGCCTTCTGTCATTAAACCACAGGATTTGAGCCACTGAGTGAAACATGTTCTGCTGATTCCCTATGAAAGACAAATGCAGGAATCTCCTAAAATCAGCCCAAGACATTGGAAGATTATAGCAGCTGGGAATGCTTATTCCATGCCATAAAAAAGTTTCACATACTGATTTTCTGAGTATCATGTTTCACAGTACAAAAGATGTGTAGGCTTTGTTTATTTTGGTTAGCTTGGGGTCCTAATGTAAGGGGTTAGATCTGGGGTTAGTCTCAACTACAGCAGACCCACTGAATAAATGGAGTTTACAATGAGTGTTGACTTACCAAAGTTCCATTATCTCAATGGGTCTGTTCTAGTTGGGACTAATAGTTGAATTTGACCCTCACCCACAGTTCAATACAGTTATATAATCTTAGCATAAAAACCCTAAGAAAAACCTTGCTGGATTAGATCAAAGAATTTTCTAGCACTGTGTTCACATAGTGGCCAGTAAATGCATAAGCTCATAAACAAGGCATGAGGGCACACAACCCACTCACTCCTGTTGCCTAGCAACTGATGCACAGTAGCACACTGTTTCTGGTAATGGATAGATATCGTGACTGATAGGGCTGTCTTCAATGATTTTTTCCAGACCCCTCCCATTAAAGCTGTCCAAGTTAGTAGATACCACCAAACTCCTATTGTATTAAAACATATTTTCTTGAACCACCTAGCTCAAATACCCATTTGTAAAATGTGATCAGTTCGTGACCTAGTGGAGGGGTTAGATCTGATTATTAGTCTCAACTACAGCAGACCCACTGAATAAATGGAGTTTACAATGAGTGTTGACTTACCAAAGTTCCATTATCTCAATGGGTCTGTTCTAGTTGGGACTGTTACATACAGCACTGATGTTACCTGTCTGTCATGGGTTTGGAGGGAAAGTTCCATCCTATGGGGAGTGGAAGGCGGGACATCAGGAGGAGGGGCTGTACTGTGACCCTCACCCACAGTTCAATACAGTTATATAATCTTAGCATAAAAACCCTAAGAAAAACCTTGCTGGATTAGGTCAAAGAATTTTCTAGCACTGTGTTCACATAGTGGCCAGTAAATGCATAAGCTCATAAACAAGGCATGAGGGCACACAACCCACTCACTCCTGTTGCCTAGCAACTGATGCACAGTAGTACACTGTTTCTGGTAATGGATAGATATCGTGACTGGTAGGGCTGTCTTCAATGATTTTTTCCAGACCCCTCCCATTAAAGCTGTCCAAGTTAGTAGATACCACCAAACTCCTATTGTATTAAAACATATTTTCTTGAACCACCTAGCTCAAATACCCATTTGTAAAATGTGATCAGTTCGTGACCTAGTGCAGAGAATGCCCCATCCCAGCCAACTTGTCGCACTGATTTAAAAACAACAACATGTTCTGGCCAAATGATCTTATAAGGAGAGGATACTCTTGTAACTCTTGCAGTGGCCATTTAATGCTGATCCCTCTCAGCTCCTCAGAAGTTACTGTTAGTTTTTCCAGTAGTCACTAAATCTCTACAAAGGAAATGCAATGTTTACTGTGGTTCAGTATAAAAATGCTAATCCAAACACACACACACACACACACAGAGGACTCCTCTCCTAGTGGTGTACTGATGTCACATCTATGCTCTGGAGTTTTTGAACTATAAACGCAAACAAGGGATTATAGCCATGGCAGCAATGCCAAAGAATCCCTGATATATACATCACCCTCGTCCAAATTTAATATTATTTAAATCTAAGTGAAAATGGGAGGATTTATATTGTTTGTGAAACTCAGTATGGCCGTCCTAGCTGGGATTGGGAAACCTAGGGCATACCTCGGCTACTGTACATACGTCTGTTGTCCTTGCTCAACTTGCTAACTATACCTGCTTTTATATCTTCATGGGCACAATGACATGTAAAAACCACACAGGTGAAGATTTTCCCACCATTTTATCTCTTGGCTGCTTAAGCCTCACCTGATAAATTGCTGCCCATCAGGCTGTTATTGAAGGTGCACAAGCAGGAACTAAAAAAATACTGGCAACTTTAGCTTTAGTCTGTTCCCTACCCATACTGTACTTTTTACCAGATGAGTAGATGTTAATCAAGATAAGCTGGTCAAAAGAAACGGGAGTTTATTTGTCTACCAGTTACTAGTCTGCAGTAATTACTCAAGCAGAGTTCTCTGAAACCTTTCAGGGAAGTGGAAGAAGGTAAAAATCTGTCATTATGTGGTGGTGGTTGATTTATTATGTGCCATCAAACTGTTTCTGACTAAGGGCAATTCTGTGATGTAATGACCTTTCATTAACAGACTTGTTCAGATCTTGTAAACTAAAGACTGTGACTTCCATTCCTCCTACTTCCTCTTAGTGTTATTGACTTTGCCATTCAGCCTCATCTTCTCATGATATGCCTAAACTATGGTCGCCTCAGTTTAGTTGTCTGCTTCTGTTAACTATATGGAATTAGAAACAGCAATGTCAATGATACACCTTTCTTTTCAGTATTAGTATTCATCCCAAAATTCAGAAACATATTACATTTCTAAAGTTGCCTTTGCCACTGAATGCAATACAGTAACTACTTAATTCTGTGCTGCTTTTGAACTATTTATTTTAAAACAATGACCCACTGTAACTATAATTTACAGTGGGAAATCAGTTTATGGGGAAATTGGCTTCTTCATTCTCTACCGTTGTACATGTTTTCATTTCCTGAAAAATCCCTCTCTATCCACTTTTACCATTAACTGGGGAAGAGTCAGGGCTCCTACTGGAAAATTTTAAAAGAGATTGCCACAGAATGGGGCCTCTAATAGCATTAGAATGGCAGACCAGGCAAAATTGAGCTGGCCCACCTCTGAGCTATACCAGTGTAGTCACTTTTGGGCACAGTAGTTCTGGACATATGCCAACAGGATACCATGTGAAAAAGCTGTACTTCCAAAAGCTGGAAATACTCCAGAGCTATTGAATCGGTTCTAAAGTGGGTCTGCAGTGTCTTCAGCAGCTCCTGCTATGACCTGAGTCTGACTTAGAGGCAAGGTTCCTGCGAGGGTGAAAAGTATATATCTCTGGGGATAAAAGATTGTGGGGACCCATGGGCAGAACAGGTAATTTTGGAAACAAAATAATCCTAAGGTTTGTTGCTGGCTATAGGAAGAACCCTGGACAAGGAAGGCTTAATATCTTGATGACGCCTAGTTCTCTGCTGGAAAACACAGAAGCTTAGAGGCACTTCTCTTCTAACATCCCTTTGATGGCAAATGGTTGCAATCTTGTCTGTGGGCCTTCCCCGTTAAATAAGTTGCCAGTTACACAATAGTTTGCACAATAGTTGCGAACACTGGAGTACCTACAGCACTTGCCACCAGTCCCAATTACACAGGCAAGCTGGAGCCTGACTGATTTATAGGTTTGTGACAATACTGCAGTAGTGTTCTTGTTTGTATCTCCAGATTGAGGGGTGGTGGTCAGAGAGAGAGGAGAGACTGGAATCCATCCCACTTACCTATGCTGCTGCAAGAAGTACTTGAAAGCTTTCTGCTCTGCCTGTTATGTCTCTTGCAGCCTTATTGCATCAGAGAGAAAAACCATGTGTAACTGATTGACCCATCCTGCCAGCTTCTTATGTAAGCAACCAACAGATACTGAATGAACTCGTAGGAGTGTTCCTCAAGCAACAAAGTAAGGCTCAGGTAGTGGATGACTAGGACATATTTGCTGATCCTAGGTGCTCTATTCTCTTCGCATGGATATGGGTCAGTGAGGCTGGGTCCACGTGTGAGGTTGTGGAGGCTGAACTGTAAAGAGAAATAACCTGGGATAATCTCAGCTGCCACACACAGCACTTATTTGAAGGCATCAGCTTTAGCTCCCAATTTCTTGAGTTTCTGGAGAGTGAGAGGACAAGCTAACTCCGATCTTAAACCAGTAAAACTTTTTAAAAACACAACCATTTACCACATAAGCAGATGGTAGTGTGTCTAGATACATAAAATCTCCTAGAAAGGCATGGAACGTTTTTAAAAATAATTTTCTCTTCAGTACTTTATATGGACACATACGTTTCCCCCATCGATCCTCTCTAAAACTTATGGATATAGCATGTATGGGGACCATAAATCTGTTTTAGAGACCAATACTGTACAGTACAAGAGTACTGAGGGCGAAACATTCAAAAGACTTTGCCAAGATCTTTAGGCTTGAACATGTTCTTCATGCCTGCAGTTCAACAGCCTGGTAAGGTCCATTCCCTAGGAAACACCAAATTAGGTCTCAAGTGTTCCTGTGGCTCATTTTCTAGAATGTGAGGATTCAGCACCATCTGTTGGTAAATTCCTTTCACAACAGCTGCTGTTTTCAAACTGAGTACTTGGCACTACTTTTCCGTGCTTTTAAAAAATTAAGTACTGTACTATTAATATTATTCAGTTATACTAAGCAGTGAGTAGGGTCTACCTAGATGACCAATTCGATCTGTTCCTATTCTGTAGCTCTTTCAATTTTATTTTCCTTTACTTATTTGCCGGAAAGCAGGGAAGCGTGGAATAAACGACGAACTACATGCACCAAACAGCCGTAATAGTGGCTTTCTAATTTCTAGTCTGAGAACAGAGTACAAAAAATAAAATAAATAGAATTTGGTTGCAAGTTTATTTCCAAGTAGACAAGCCCACTTCGCAACAATGCAGGCTCAAAGTAAAAAACACAAGTCATTTCTACACTACTGAAAGAGAAGGTAGAGCTTGCCTCGGAGGGGGGGGGCGCTGATGGGAATGGCTTTTAACTTCGCCCTAAGATGCGCCGCTTCCCGCGAACATTTCGCCTTTCCCGCTCGCCGAGACTCTTTGAAGGGAAGGCGGAGAGTTTCGGAGGGGCGGGCCGGACTCAAAGGCGGAGGCGGAGCTTCCCTACGCCCCGCCCCCCTGATGCTTTCGAGCGGCTTCGCTTTCTTTAGCCCAGCCCAGCTTAGCTCGGCCGGGCTCGCGGAGCGTGATTGACACGGACCAAAAGTTATCCCGGAATAAAGGGAGCACGCATGTGCCATCACACCGGATGTGAACATATTCCCTTTGCTTTCCCGACTCTACCACCTGGGGGGGGGCCCTGGGTGTTTGTTTTGAAAGTAGCAACCGTGCCGAGCCGTGCCAAACCGGTCTAGTTCACCCCTGCTGCTTTTGCAGCGAGGGGAAAGAAAGAAAAAAAGGGAGGGAGAAAAGGAAAAGTTCCTTTAGCTCCCTGCCCTAAGCATGGCCTCCTTGAATAAGGCATATGAGGCTTCAAGAGCAGCTCCAATAAACTGAACCGGGTCAAATCCGTTCTAGCCGTAAAAAGGGTTCCAGTCCGCGCTGCCCTGCTTGCTACTCCCCCGCAGCCTTTTTTTCTCCCTTCCCGCCCCCCCCCCTTCGGTCTGACACGGAGATCTCTGGAGTTACTGTTATCGTCCCAGTAGTTTTGGGGTTCGGGGGGGGGAGAATTGGGCTGGAGGGGGGGACGGTTCGGGGTCCAAGCAAGCATGGATTTCCGCGGGAAGAAGTACGAGCGGGGCAGCAACTGGTCCGACCCGGAGGTGGTGGAGCTCCTGCACCTGTGGGCCGACGAGGCGGTGCAGGCGGAGCTGGAGAGCTGCCTGCGGAACCAGCACGTCTTCAACCGGATCGCCGAGGTGCTGCGGGAGAAAGGCATCCACCGCACGGGCGACCAGTGCCGAGAGAAGATCAAGAAGATGAAGCTCGAGTACCGGCGGATCAAGGACAACCACAAAGTCCCCCGCGGCGGCCGGACGTGGAAGTTTTACGAAGTGATGGATCGGGTCCTCGCCAGCCGGCCTCTCCTCGCCTACGGCGCCGGCACCAGCAGCGTCGGCGGCCTGGTGGTCCCCCAGCGAGGGCTCCCGGCCGGTCTGATGGAGGGCTTCCCTCCTCACCCCTTGGGCCCGGCGGCGGCGGCGGCTCGGGCCTTCCCCCACTCTCAGCCTGCGGAGCTGATGGAGATCAAATGCGAGGAGGTGGATTCAGAGGACCAGTACTTGACCCCTGAGCCCCCGCCTTCCCTCACTTACCCCCCGGGGGGCTCTGCTGAGGAGCACGAGGTGGAGAGGGCCTTTTTGGAGGGGTCCCCAAATGACTCTCCCGTCTCCAGGGTGGAGATCCCCGTCGAGACCAGTGTCTCGCCTTCAGGTAGGACTGCCTAGTGGTCTCCCTCCCTGAGGCAAATGAGCAGCAGAGCCTCTGCACGGCTCTTGTGTAAGACCAGGGTGAGGGCCACCTGACTTGAATTATCTGAGAACCGGTAGGTTCTTGCCCAGGGGGAGGCAAAGGATCCTACTCACTGAGTAGTACCTTTGTTCCTCAATGCAGAGCCTTTGTGGGGCTGCTGCAGATCCCCGAAAAGAGCATCCTTCATTGGGTGATTCTGTGAACTATACTTAAAGGAAGATACTTTTCCACACTCTTTTCCTAGCTCTTGTAACTTTTGAGTTCCACTTTTTTGCAGCCTGTAATGATGGTGCCCCAAGAATGTGTTTACTTTCTCTAGTTACCATTTCCCCGAGGGCTATCCCTGTTAGTCTGTTGTGGCAAAAATGGCTGTGAGTCCTGTAGTACATTAAACACATGCATATTCAGGAGAACATGAGCTTTCCTGGACACTAACCCTCTTCATCACAAGTAAGCTCTTGCTTATGTCAACTTAGACAGCAGTAATGTAATATAGCCATATCCTGTGCATGTTTACTTTGATGTCAGTCCCATTAAGGTGATGGACTTATTCCAGGGAAGGGTAAATCAGATTGCAGCCTACTTTTCTATCACATCAGAACACCATTTGTTTCCTTCATGCGACCCAGAAAGAGTTATTTTGCACATAGCATGTGTTAACAAACACTTATGTATATTTTCGTTGGGATCTGTAAATGCCTGTATAAGTTGTCATGTGTGGAGATTGTTTGTGCTGCTCTTTGGCTGTGTGCACATCCATTGGAGCCAGATTTCCACTGCATTTTCATAACATTTAGTACCGACAAGAGGTATTTTTTCTCAAATAGCCAGGTGAATATTATGCGTGGGCTATGTTTTGCTTAACTTCCTCTCTCATTTGGCAAATCTTGCATCTCTTATGCAAAGCGTGACCAAGATATGGTTTTATTTCATATGCCTAGTAAGAGCTTGGAAAACTATGGATTATAGTTTGAGAACATTTCTGTCTCTTGTTTCTTCTGTCATGAAACACAAGGGGCATACACGTTGGTATTTATCTATTTAAATTATTTTTAACACACCTTTCTCCTTAAAAAGGCCCCCAAGTGGCTTGCATCATTAAATTGTGAAAAATTTTGAAAGCTAAAAACAGTAAGTATACAAATACCAAAAGGGATCAAGCAAATACTGCACTAAAAGTTGATACACAAAAGCAACACCAAAAACATGTTCAAAGCAGTAAAGCACAACTATCCAACTAAAAGGCCCACTTGGGCAGCTGGTCAATTAAGGGAAAGCTTGCCTGAAGAGAAAGGTCTTTGCCTGCTTGCGGAAGGACAGAAAAAATGTGGCCAGGCTGACCCCCTGTGAGAGGGAGTTGCAAAGTCTGGGTGTAGCAGCAGAGAAGGCTGTCTCCCATGTCCCATCAAATGTACCTGTGAAAGTGATGGGACCAAAAGAAAGGCCTCTCCTGATAATCTTTACACCCAGGAAGTCTCATAAAGAGAGATGGGGTCCTTGAGATCGTTTGGAGCCACACCACTTAGGGCTTTGTATATTAGAACCAACATCTTGAATTGTGCCCAGAAATGGATCGACAGTGAGTGGAGCTGCTGTAACGGGATCCCTCTGACCAGCCTCAGCTAGCTATTTGGTTGCTGCATTTTGGACCCACTGAAGTTTCTGAACACTTTCCAGACACAGCCCCATGTAGAGAGCATTACAATAATCCAGCTGGGATGTAACTAAGGAATGTGTCACCATGGCCAGGTTAGATCTCTCTAGGAATGGGTGCAGCTGGCACATTAGTTTAATTGCACAAAGACACTCCTGGCCACTCCTGAAACTTGGGCATATAGGCTCGGAGACAAATACGGGAGCACTCCCAAGCTGTGCACCTGTGTTTTTAGTGGGGAGTGCAACCCTATCCAGGATAGCCTGCAGCCCTATTCCTTGATCTGGCTTTCAGTTAACTCAAAACCTCACACAACCTCTCCCAGCAGTTTCATGTACTTATTAAATAACATGTGAGACTAAACAGAACCCTGAAGGGTCCCACAGACCCCATAGGCTTCCATCCAGGCAGTGTCCCAACCCAGACTTGCTTAGCTAAGTGAAACTTTAGCTCACTCCTAACACAAAGAATGTGTGAAACTGTCAACAATATATGCTGTGGCCTGCAGCCAGTGTAATATGTAGCCCAGTTTTCCAACGTGATTCTTATGCCTGATGTAGAACAATTTCTGTGCCTTATGGCACAGTGGTTAAAATGCTGTACTGCAGCCAGAACTATGCTCACAACCCGGAGTTCAGTCCCAGGTAGCTGGCTCAAGGTTGACTCAGCCTTCTGTCCTTCCAAGGTCGGTAAAATGAGTAACCAGCTCGCTGAGGGGGAGCAATGTCTAGCTTGCATAATTAACTTGTAAACTGCCTGGAGAGTGCTTGAAGTGCTATGGGGCGGTATATAAGCAGCATGCTTTGCTTTTTGTGTATGCCAGAACAGCTGTTCATTGTTGAAAGTTGTTTGTGTGCCTTGAAAAAGAAGCAATCAGGTGGGTAAATCTAACAGTTTCCTCTCACATCCTACAACTGAGGAGAGATGGCTGAAGGATTTGAAATTGTATTTGAACCCTGACATTTGGAGTATTGAAATTAATTGGAACATTAATGCTATTTAGATTCTAAGGAGTTGACATTTTTTTGGTAGATTTAACTTAGGTGCATACGTGTGCAAAGGGAAGGAAAGCCTATGGAAAAGCCTTCATGCCTCTCTTTTGTGAAATGGCCATGAGTTATTTGTTGGGGATACTCGAGATGTAATGTGACCTCAGGCTTTACGGATTGCAGTACCAGAACAAAATCTCTCATCTGCTGCTTCTGCCTACACATAAATAAATGAAATGTGTACTCAGACTATCATATTAATTTGCTTGACAGGTTCTAGACTTCTCAGTTTCATTGCTGAAATGGAAGGCAAGGCAGGCATAGTGCCTCCTGCCTGCTCATCCCTTCCTCCGCTGTGAAGTATACCTGGGATGCTGCCCATAAGAGCATCTGGGAAGAGGTATAATCAAAAGGACCAGGTAAAAGATGGGTTGAGACTGCCTTGCCTTCTATTTGAGAAGCAGATAAAATGTTATTTGGAGGGAACACTTTGGGGGCGTAAGCTAATAATTTCCTCTTCCTGTTGGTTCCCACGTAGTTTTACGTAAGTCATAGCAGTTCTTTAGCTTGAGCAGAGAAATCTGTGCAAATGCTGAATTTATTTTATGAAGGGCTCATTAATATTAGAATCTGGTATAGAGAGCTGGAAAGCTGCAGAGCCCCTAGCATTGAGTTCTTCTATCATCTAATGACAAACATTATGTAGATACAAAGAATTATGAAAATAAAATCTCTAAACTGTGAAAAGAGTCCACCTACATTTTTTTAACCTTGCAAGTATTCAGGAAAAATACTTTAAAGGTGTTGCTTTCTGGCAATATTATCATATTTAACCATGATAACTGAATTTTTGTCTTCCCTTTTGTTTGCTTTTATTGTTAAATTATGTAATTTTTTTGCCTTTATGCATGTTTGACCTATGCAAAGGAAGAAATGTCAGTGGATGGTTTCTTTTTATCTGTTTATTGATAGGTTTCAGTGAGCCCAACATGGCTTCCTCATCCCGGATTCAAAGTCTGGGGCCACGGCCTGGTTTTTCCACTTTGCATCGCTTGCGGAAAAAGCGAAAAGCCCAGCGTCTGAAGGACCCTCTGGATGCTGTCCTGCTAAAGACCCTGACTGCACAACGGAAGATTGAGGAGCGCTTTCTGCAAATGGAGGAACGCAGGCTCCAGCGGGACCTGGAGGTAGAGGAGCGGCGGATACAGCTGGAACAGCGACGTTTTGAACTGGAACGCGACCATGAGTTCCGCATGTTCAGTGTCTTCGCCCAGATGCTCAGCATTTTAAAACAGAGCAATAATGGGTCCTCGGAAAGTGGGCTGCCTCAGGGTGTGGAACTTAGCCAAGCATTTTCAGATGCCACAGGAACAGGAGAAGGATCGCAGCAGGAAATACAGACCTCACAGTTAGGGAGACCTGTTTTGAGCAGGAAAACCAATATATATAACTTCTGCAACCATAGCAATTTCCAAAACAGCCCATATCTCTCTGCCCGAGGCAACATTGCTACTATTTGTTGGGATGCTACAGAAGAGGGGTATAATGCCTACCATGCTGACAAGTATGATGAAGATAAAAACCCAAATGTGAGTGTCAATGTTTCTGTTCTGTTGATATTAAAACATTAATATTTCTTGCAGTTATTATTTGCACAGCGACAAGTATTCATAACATTCTCTCACAGAAGGAACTCAATTTGGCAGCTGCCTGCCTCCAGAAGTCTACATTTTAGTGTTTCGTTTAATGTTGTGCTGAAGAACAGAGGGGGAAAAAGGGTCAATGAGTTGGGCAAAATCAGTTACAAAGTTTTGGTAGGAAGCAGGATTCAAATTAAGGGTTACAAACCTGCATCCCAGGGCAATTAGCATTTGGAAAAAAAGTTCCTGTAGGTGCACATATGGGCTTTCCCCCCCCTTGATGCTGATTGTGCCCTTTGAAGTAGTGGTGGTGGTGCAGATGTTTTGTCCAGATGGTGTCTGAGGAGGGAAGAGTAAAACCTACCCTCCTTGTATACTGCAGTCCTGATTAAAAAAAATGGGAGCCTTCCGTGCTCCTGTTTACCAGGCATCCCTGGTTGCTAAGAGATAATTAAATTAATATCTGGTGTGACCCTAATTAACAAGGAAATCTAATTAACAAGCAGGTTTGAGTTCAGCTCCTCGCCCAGCTCCTCCTCTGTTGGACCACCTGTTATAACCCTTCTTAGGTGCTATGGCTGAAACCCTGTGTAGCTCAAGGTTGCTGGGGATCCACCTCAGTTTTGTAGCCCATTTCTCTACCACACCTAGACATTGGGAAGACTTTGCATGTTTAAGACGTTCTGCAAAAGAGTCTGTATGAGCGTTCTGCTGAAAGCTGTTGTAGGGCTTCTGATCAAGGGAGCTCAGTAAGCATTCTTAGTTTAATGTCCTTAGCAGATCACTTTAGCAGATCCTTGAGTTAAACATGTGATGGATATACTGATTTCTAGGTAGGGGTAGGATTTATGTGTGCAGCCCTGCTCCCATCACCCATGTAGCTCTCCTTAGTGTCACGTATAATGCCTAAATAGGGTGTGCTTCTTTGTCTATTTTGCCTCACTGCTCGTTGTGTCGACTCTGTGGATGGCTCCACATAACATTACTTTGAGCTCCTTGGAGAAGAGACAGTGTACAAATGCAAGAAGTAAATACATACTCTCAGGAAAAGCAGTGGCTCAGCTAAATCCTTACTTCCAGAGAAAACAGAAAATCTACATTGTAGGTGCTAATATGCCATTTCTTTTTACACAGTATGAAAACTTCGGCATCTATAGATCGGTATTAATGGCATGAGATATCATTAACTGGGAAACATGTATTGGGGCTATGTAAACATATGCAAATGACTGGTGAAGTTTGTTGTGTAATTATGCAGAGGGTGAATCCTGCAACCCTCTGTGGCGTAAGCCTCACTATAAACTAATTAAAAGCCTGTTACTTCCAGAAGTAAATGGGAGGATAAATGCCTTGCTACTTTCTTACATGCCTGATGTTTAAAAATCTTTTTTTCCTGAAGTCTGAATTGATTCTAGTATTTAGAACAACCCTCTGGTTTACAACAGTGAATGTTTGTATAACACCCATTTTTATGCAGTGTAATATTTGATATGCCAGGATGGGGTGATATTTATGGATATATATAGAGATGGATGTTTTGTCACAAAACTTTTTTGTCTGTTGGCAGGGTATCATTAATTTTGGCACCAGTGAAAACAAGCTCTGCTTTGATCTGTTGTCCAAGCGGGTAAGAGCATCATAACTGTACTTTATTTGTAAGCAGTGGTGGTCAGAGCTGGAAGTAGCTTCCCAGATAGACTCTGAGAGGCTTTTTAACATGCTGTTATCCTGCTTCATTCACTGAATTTTAAGGGGTCTCCATGTAAGTTATCCTCCATTTGTAATCCTATCTTGTTTATCCTCCTTTTCTTCCTTCTTTTTCTTATGGAGAAAATCCAGTAAGGGATAAAAAGGCAAAATAGTTTCACAGTGTCTTCTGAATATTAACATAAGGAGTCCTCCATCTGAAAATGTCCTTATTATGACATTCTGTTGCATCTTGATCCTGAGAAAGGTTGGCCAGTTTCTCTTCTGCTTGTGTAACCCCTATGAAATATTAGTTCAGCCGAAAGGGGTGAGACTAAGAAAGAGAAAAGCTGTGCGTTTGGAGAAATTTGAATCAGAAAGAACAGGAGAGCTGAAGGGGCTGGAACTGCTGTTGTCACAGACTGCTAAGGCCCTTGCCAACTTGGTCTAGATATAATTATGGATACCCAACTCAGTTGAGGAAGTATATAACTGTGAATAAGAAGGGACTCATTTTTGTAAAATTGTGTTTGCAAGGTTCATCAGTAGATACTTAAGTAAACAAATAACCCATAGAACTTAAAAATGTTACACATGGATATCTTATGAACACAGCAGTGCCCTTTAAAGAAGGGCAGTGATCTCCAAATAAACATCTTCCACCTGCTCTGGTAATCTTAGAGTTCATGAAAGCAGCTCTCCATCTTTAGCTTTCCAGGTATTTTGGACTTGATCTCCCAGAAGTTTCAGTCAACTTGGTTAGTGAGTAGGGATTCTGGGAAATGAAGTCTGAAATATCAGGCTTGCCTGCTTGCGGAAAGACAAAAAAGATGGGCCCAGGCTGGCCTCCTCTGGGAGGGAGTTGCAAAGTCTGGGAGCAGCATCAGAGAAGGCCCTGTCCTGTGTTCCCATCAGATGTATCTGAGAAGGTAGTGAGACTGAGAGAAAGTCTCTCTTGATGATCTTAATAGTCAAACCAGCTCATAGTGGGTAGGGATTCTGGGAAATGAAGTCTGAAATATCAGGAGGGCCAAAATTTGAGAGATACCATAGCAGAATTATAAAAGTAATCTAGTCCAGCCTCCTTAAGCATAACACCTAATACTAACCTAGCATTGCTTACTCTAAATCATGGAAAAGTGAAAGTGTGTTAATTAGTGTGGTACTATCTCTTTTAACTTTGGATTTCCACCTCTGGATGCTTCTATACAGGGATCTCCTTTCAGTGGCTATCCCAGAAAAATCCCAGAAAAAGTTCAGTGAAGTTAAACAGGAAGGACTAGTTTTGATGATGGAGGTAGATTTATGGGTGGTTGATTGTGGCAATGCTTAAAAAGAATGACCTTCAACTGCAGTAAAGAAATTTAGTACTGTACTGTAGAAGCTTTAGGTTCTTCTGGCTCACAGTAATTTTTCCAACCCATTTGTGATGTCTTGCTCAACCATTATGCCCTTTTTTCCTCATTGCTGAAAGCTGACACAAAGTGACATGAATGTTCTGGAACCTCCACTACTGCAGTATCCAGACTGGAAGGGTCATATGTTGTAAGTGCTCTTTCTCTTTGATCTTTGGGAGTATGTTCATCCCCTTTCCTCCATCTATGAAAAAAAATATGGCAAATTATTAGTATGATCATTATTGGTATCATTATTTCCTAAGTTACCTAGATGCTATATAAAAAATTGACAGTTGTCTATCAAGGTTGATGGAAGTTTTAGGAATGGTGAACATGCCTCTGTATGATATGTATTTATGAAAAATTTGGAAAGAAAAAGCAGGTGGATCATAGGTGGTGGATGGATGGGTACTCAAATGACAGCAAAATAACACTTAAGAAAGCAATCAGTTGTTAACCATGTGATATGAAGTGTTTGAAGAGGTTTGTTTCATCAATATAGTTTTTCAGCATCAGAGTCATGGTATGTTCCTTCTTTGAACACTGGGAAATGTTGCTTGGTTATTTTGTTTGTTCATTCATTCTTTTTTCTTCTCCCCCCCCCTTTCTTTCCTGGAAATACAACTCCTAGAATATAGCAGATAGCATGGCCCATGGAATTCAGGAAGTTGTAAAAAAAAATAACTTTTCCTGTCTCTGATCTTTAAGTACCTAAAATGGAACATCTAGCAAAGAGGGAAGTAGTGGTAGGCTTAGGAGACCTCCAGAATTTGCAGAAGTACAGGAAAAAATTTGGGAGTGAAATTATGGAATGAATGGGCAGTGGCTGGCTGACTGGAACTCTGAAAGAGAGAATCTTACACCACAACATTTTGTTGCAGCTCCAGATGGTTTATTCTAATTGCTTGTCCTTTTGAAATATTATCTTTAATTATTATGTGATGGCCTGCTGCTTTTACAGTGTTTTTGTTTGATTAGAAAGCACTGAAACATTAATCAGGTCTGTCAACATTCTCTTTGTTTATATTGGTTAGTGGCAATTTTCTAACGTACCTTCTACCGAATACCACGGATTGAGACTTACGGCTTCCATCAGTAGGCTCCTCACTGCTTTCCCTCATTCTCAAAAATATTCAGATTATTTATCAGGGTTGGTGATTCTAGTGGGGTTAAGTGCCATGTTGTATATTTGCCAGCAGCCAGGGAGCCAGTTTTCACGCGGGGGGGCTAAAGGGGATAACAACAGCAACAATAATTGTGTGCCATCAATTCTGACTTATGGTTATACTTTTCAGGGTGTTCTAGCTAGAGAGTACAGTCGTGCCCCGCTGGATGATTACCCCGTATAACAACTAATCCGCTTAACATTGAAGTTTTTGCGATCGCTTTTGCAATCGCAAAACCTTTCATTTCACGATGATCGGTTCCCTGCTGCGCGAACCGATTTTCCCTTAAGGACGGTAATCCGTTCCCATTGGAACGGATTATCCAGTTTTCAGTGCATTCCTATGGGAAATGGTGTTTCGCTTAGCGATGTTTTCCCATAGCGATGTTTTTTTGGGAACCAATTAACATCGTTAAGCGAGGCACCACTGTAGTTAACATCATTAAAATACAATATTTAAAGTTAAGAAGAGGGAGTATAAAGAGGCATCTTACATAATTAAAAGGCAATATTAAAGCTAGGAACAATACGTATACAAATATTAAAAAGAGAAAAAAAAAGTCACTCTGAGAAATGGAAAAGACAATAACAGTCCTTCTAACAATCACACACAGGTAGCTAGTTACTGAGGGAAGGCTTGGCTGAAGAGAAAGGTCTTTGCCTGCTTGCAGAAGGACAGAAAAGATGGGACCAGGCTGGCCTCCTCTGGGAGGGAGTTGCAAAGTCTGGGAGCAGCAACAGTGAAGGCCCTCTCCTGTGTTCCCATCAGACGTACCCTGTGAAGCTAGTGAGACTGAGAGAAAGCCTCTCTTGATGATCTTAATAGTCAAACCAGCTCATAATGGGAGATACAGTGGTGCCTCGTTTAACAACGGTAATTCGTTCCAGAGAAATCGCTGTAGAGCTCGTTCCAAAGAAATCGCTGTAGAGCGAAAACGTCATAAAGCGAGATAAAAAAGCCCATTGAAATGCATTGAAAACCCCTCAATGCATTCCAATGGGCTGAAAACTCACTGTCCAGCAAAGATCCTCCATAGGGGCGGCCATTTTCGCTGCCTGTAAAGCGAGGAATCCATCCAAAAACAGCGGGGAGCCATTTTAAGCATTTGGCGGCCATTTTGAAACCCGACGATCAACTGTTTTTGATCGTCGTAAAGTGAAAATCGGTTCCCAAAGCAGGGAACCGATCATCGTTAAACGAAAAAACAAACCCATTTAAAACAACCGATTGCAAAAACCTAATCGTCAAGTGATTTTGTCGTAGAGCGGGGCAGTCGTTAAGCGAGGCACCACTGTACAGTCTTTAAGATAGCTTGGACCCAAGCCATTTAGGGCTTTATAGGTTAAAATCAACACTTTAATTTGTGGCTGAAAGCTGATTGGCAGCCAGTGGAGCTGCTGTAATGGGGGTTATGTGACCCTATAACCAGCTTCAGTCAACAATCTGGCTGCTGCATTTTGGACCCGGTGAGGTTTCCTGACACTTTCCATTGGCAGCCCCACATAGAGTGTGTTAACAGCAATCCAGCCAAAAAGTACCATAACTAGGATGTGTATGACAGTGGCTATAGCAGATCTGAAAGATGGATGTAGCTGGTGCATTAATTTTAATTGTGTAACGGCCCTCCTGGCCACTGCTGAGACGTGGGCAACCAGTCTCAGGGATGAATCCAAGAGCACTCCCAAGCTGCACACTTGTTTTTAAAGTGAGAGTGGAATCCCATGCAGCATAGGCTGCATCCCTTTACCTTGATCTGCGTTTCAATTGACCAGAAGCACCTCTGTCTTATCTGGATTAAGTTCCAGTTTATTTGCCCTCGTCCAGTTCATTACTGACACTATACACTGATTTTTTGTTGTTTAGTCGTTAAGTTGTGTGCGACTCTTCGTGACCCCATGGACCAGACCACGCCAGGCCCTCCTATCTTCCACTGCCTCCCGGAGTTGGGTGAAATTCATGTTGGTAGCTTTGATGGCACTGTCCAACCATCTCATCCTCTGTCGTCCCCTTCTCCTCTTGCGCTCACGCTTTCCCAACATCAGGGTCTTTTCTAGGGAGTCTTCTTTTCTCATGAGATGGCCAAAGTATTGGAGCCTCAGCTTCAGGATCTGTCCTTCCAGTGAGCACTTGGGCTTGATTTCCTTTAGAATTGATAGGTTTGTTGCAGTCCAGGGGACTCTCAAGACACTGATTTAGAGCTATAGAAATCTGGCAAACAGCTTAGTGGTCGTCTGCCTTGAAGAATTGATGCTGTTCATTACGAAGTTCTTTTTTGAAAAACATTCTTGCACTGGATAGTCATGTCTTGGAAAAATTAATCCCATGGTTGCTTTTGTGTCTCCTTCAGCTTGCGAGAGGAAGTGGCTCGATTTCTGACCTATTACTGCAAGGCACCTGCACGTCTCAAAGCAGAAAATGTAGGTCAATATATTTCCTGGGCTGTTTCCCCCCACTAATAAATGTGTTGGTGTCTCCTGTCAAACAGCTCTGTCTAGAGGTGGTTACTCAACATACAAAGCATTAGAAACCGTATTGTAGTCACTGTATCGAAAAATGATAGAAACTACTGGAAGTTGCAGTGCTAAAATGTATATGCAGACCTATCTGCCTATGCTTATTCCTGCTATGGCTGCTTGTACACTGGCACCATGAGAAAAGCAGGTTGCAACCAAACAATATGGACTGATGAGATGATGAGTACATTGACCCAATTATATTGTATTAACCTTGGAATGGATTTTCTGTGTTACAGGTTCTTCATATGTGATGTTTTATGGATTGCTTTTTTGATTATTTTTTTTAATTGCTTTACCATTAATGTTATTCTTTTTCACTCTGGCCCAGCTGTGTAGACTAGCTCTCAGAAGTTATTAGCCTGCCCCCACCTCAAAAGTTCCAGCCTTCTGGAATCTGACACAAAGGGAACAAAACTTGCTTCTCTGTTTGGTGCACAACATAATGAAGAAGTAACTATAATAGTACTCCTAATTCCTGTTTGGGCCCAGAGGAGGGACAGTGTACTTCATCCTTCTTCCACCTACCTGCCAGATCCCCTGTTTGGATTCTATGCATTGAGTTGTATGCATTTTCTGATTTCTTGTTTTTACAAGGCTAGGTTTCAACACAAGCTTTTCTAAGACACTTGACACAGTCCTATACATATTTGCTCAAGTAATCTGCATGGAGTTCAGTGGGACTTGTTGCCAGATAACTGTATAGATTTGCAGCCTTGGTATTTCTCCTGAGAAATGCTTTCAGAACAGGCCTAATAGCTGGTTGAAATCCTGCTGCATAGCTGTGCCTGCATAACTTAAGGAGTTATGTATATACTCCATTGTGAAATTTACACTGAAGCAGAAGTCTTATTCTAGAAACAATTCTGCAAAAACAATTGCATGGTCAGTTGCACAGCCAGTGCATGGTTAGTTGTGCGGTCAGCTAGTTGTGCAAACTCTCTGTGAATGTCCGCAGGCATACCTTTATGCTACATCCAATTCAGTGAGATTATAGCTAACATTTCCTGGACTTTACAGGATCATTTGATTATGTTTCCCAATTATTAAAAAATAAATGCTGGTAATATCTACTGACTCGTCATGTCAGCTTAACTTCTTTCCAGGAATGGGAATAGATACTTTTGTGGCTATGTTGGCTGACGTATTCTGGAAATTGTAACTTCTCCCCTCTGTCCTTCCTAGTTCTTGCAGACTGAGCTGTTTTGTAATCCTGATCTCTACAGCTTCTGCTATCATTTTCAAGTGCAAGTCTCACTTGCAAAGGCTGTTTTTGTGGAAGAGAGCACTTTCCATTCACAAGCAGTTCTGTGGTTTTGTTTATGCAGTTGAGAGGGATGGACAAAATATTCATGCTGCTGGAAATCTTTCATTCATTCATTCATTCATTCATTCATTCATTCATTCATTCATTCATTCATTCATTCATTCATCTTTTCCAGCACCCATCTAGATTCAAACAAATCTAGTCTGGGTGGCTTGCAGTCCAAGCAGTATAAAACAAAAATTAAAACAGACATATAATATAATGTGTATTCCTCATGAATCGTTGTAACCTCTGTCTCTTCTTCAGGTGATTGTGCAAAATGGCTGCGGCTCTCTCTTCTCTGCTTTGGCTACAGTCCTTTGTGATCCAGGAGGTAAGTGAGTTTGTGGAGAGCCTTTGACATACATCCGTAGCATACATAGATACTGTAAATACAGTGGTGCCTCAACGTATGAACCTACAAACATTTCAACTTATGAACAGCTCCGGTCACAAAATTTTGCTTCACATGCGACCAGAGCTTTGACTTACAAACAGGAAAAAAATGCAGAGAAAGCGGGAAATTTGAACTTTATCACCCCTTTAGGAATCAGAGAATCACAGAGCCACAGTTCTCTGACATTTAAGCGATCCCTAACCAGTGAGATTGTTGAAGGAAATAACAAACAGTCTAACTAACACGGAACACTGGATTCCTGTTCCAGCAAGTGAAAATAAAAATTGAACACTTCCTCATTCAGTTAAGTTTACTAGGGTAAAAAGCAGGTGTCTTAGACAAAATGTAGGTAACAGTGGCTGAAATCTAGCAGCATAGATTGTGTCATGTAAGGCTGGATGGTGGCAGCAATGTTTGGTAATTAAAGACACCTCCCTGTCCTGCAGCCCCCAGTAGCTTCTCCAGAATGAAAGGGATGTCAAGGGAGCCGGAGGACCTTTGGGGAGAGAGAGAGAATGGGAAATTTCTAATTTCTGAAAAACCACCATCACTGATGACACTATCAGCCTTATAAGTTACACTGATGGATTTTAGCTATTGTGAGTAATAGAAAGCCTTGGCTTGCAGCAGTGATTCCCTGTTCTCTAAGAAAAAAAAGGAAGATTCTGGAAGGTCTTAGGAAGGCCACACAAATGGCTTGGGGGATGCATGTGGTTTATGGGCACACTTTGCACATCTCTCCTTTTGGCTTCTTCAATATAATGGCCAAAATCCTGTTGCTTAGTATAGTAAATTAAATTGATTCGAATGGGTGTACTCTAACAGTGACTTACTTTAGCATAGTAAGTTGTGGTTAGAGTAGATCCATTTGAATCAATGGAGTTTGGCTCACTTAATCCTCATTTAATCAGTGGTCTACTGTACTTCAGTTCAATATGCTAAGCAACAGGATTTTGACCAATGAGACATCTCATTAAGAATTTTAAAGCCCTGCAAGATTCATGGTCTCCTGCTGAAAGCAATGCAATGGGCTTCCCCCCCCACAGCACCCTTTCAGAGTCTTCTGCAATTTTCACAGAAGATCTCTACTATTATCTCCATTAGAGAAGGAAATCACAAACACATACTACAAGCTCGGAAGGACTGATTGGTTGTTAAGAAAAACACAAACAACCCATCCAGTGATTCAATGCTTAAATAAAGCATTAATCATAATAGTTTTGTACAATTTACACAGTTTTATAAATTACACATTTATGTGAAAAACTGGGCAGTTTTGTGCAAAATTGGCACTTCTTAAACAAAACATCATTCTCACCAATGCCAGAACTTTGTTGAGAACTTGAGGAAAACCTTCAGTGTCTTCACCACTAGAGAGGAGAATGTTATGGTTCAATCCCTCCAAGGTTGAGCTCAGTAAAGATATACAGTCCCTACTGTCCTGCTCTCAACCCAATGGGGTTGAAGAAGTAGAAGTTTAGACTTCGGAGTAAAAATTCTGGTATTTTTATACCTATAGAAAGGCAATTTGAAATAGATCAATTCTTCACGAATGAACATCAGGAAGATAGCTTGCAATAGTGGCTAATTGGGCTTGTTCTTCTGTTTTCAGAAGCCTTCCTCATTCCCTCACCTTTCTATGGGGGCATTACTCAAAGTGTCTTTCTCTATGGGAACGTCAAACTAGTCTATGCCCATTTAGACAGTAAGGTAAGGAAAAGAAAGGATGAGTGCCGGCTTGGATAGCCTTGTGGTATACTCTGGTTGAAGAGATGTTTGCAAATCCTCTAATATGATAATTGACATGGATAGTAATTTCTAAACCGTAGGTTGGGATTCTGTGAAGGGGAATCATATGAATGGGTTACCAAACTGGATAGCAATGAATGTGAGAAGTGGTTTTGCACATAAGATATGTTTGTAAGGTAAGATCCTTGAGAGAAATCGTGTTTGATAAAAAGCATTATAAATATTTCCATAGATATTATTTGAATTTAAAATAAATCTTACAGTAAGTAAGCTGAGGTTTAAATAATGCAGGCAAAATAAGTTTATATATACCAAACAGATATATCAACTTTATAACCTCAATAAACATCACTTGCATACACTTTTGCCGGTTTTTGACCTGATTAGGGCTATAAAAAGGAATCTTAATTAGTGGCATTCTTGTTATATTACTGACTGACCCTTAGCAAATTAGTGTGAGAGGGTTGGTTGTGTATGTTTTGCTAACTGTATGTCTGTACAAGGATTTATAGCTGAGATATTATACCACTGAAGAAAACTCTTTAATTGAAATATCTTGGATGAGTTTTATATGTGACTATTTGTTTCTATCTTCAAATGGATATTAAATGATGTAAAAGTGTATTTAAGAGTTTATAATGTTGGTATATATGTTTTGAATATTTCAGTCTGAAGTAATTTGGGCTATAAATGATGCCTTTGTTGTACAAGGATTAGCTTTCTGGCATCCTCTGTGTAGACCCATCACATGCCCATGAATAGCCAGGTCTCATTGAAAGGGGGTTTCTGGGCTCTGGAAAGAGCTGCTTTATTCATGGTATCACCTACAAATACTATAGTAATGATCCTTGGTCCTGTAATGTGCATTGCAAAGGAGTGGAGTTGTGGTGGGCTTCTTGCAGTGTTCAGCAGCAGCAGCAGCTCTTGTTTTGTTTGAAAAGACTGCAATTGGGAAAGAAACCCATTCATGCTATTGTCTGGTGATGTTTCAGGTCACGGGTACATGTACCCGTCCATTCCAGCTCACTGTAGACAAGCTGAAGAAGGCCTTGCAAGATGCACAATCAGAGGTGAGCAGGGGGAATCTTCCAGTTGTTGGAACTGCTGACACGGGGCGGAATGAGAGTCCATATCGGAGGGATATTGCTTGGGGTAATGTGAAAGCTTGATATACAATTTTGAACTATTTCACAAATTGAAGATGGACTGGTTGCCTCAACATGAAAGGTTTTTAAAATCCAATATGAAAAGGGGCTCATATGTAAAGACTTGCTCTGGTTGTATGGCTTTAGAGCGCTCAGACAGCTTAACTCTGACAGGGACTGCATTTGCAACAGAATGAAGACCAAAGGACCCCACCTAATAGCTTAACCCAAATTAATCAAGATACGGCATAACGTTTTAAGACCTCCTGCTTAAACAGATTGTCACATGCACACCAAAACTAGAAATATTTTTTCATTTTTCGTTTTAACTGAATTTATTTATTTATCTGTTTATTTATTTATTTATTTATTTATTCCATTTATATCCCGCCTATCTGGTCAATTACAATTTAATTACGAAATTTAATTTTTCCTTCTTGAGTCTTTTTCAGTTTTTTAAAAAGTTACTTTTGTTGATGCTGCTGCTCAAAAATAACAATGAGTTCTTATATAAGAGTGAGAGCAGAAGGACTGGAAAGATTCAGCAACAGGAACATCAGAGCAAATGAGAGCCAGTGATCTGACCTTAGAACACCTTGTTTACCATTCCTCCCTAAGGTGTGCCTTGTCTTAATGCAAGGATGATCAATCTCACACGCCCATTCTTGGACTGTGGAGGGCTGCACCACTCCCATAAGGAGCAATGTCTCTTAGCCATTTCCAAGAATAACCTCACAAAATTTTTAACTCTATATAAAGGGGAACGGCCTGAGTTTCAGGGAATAGTGGTAATGGATGTGTAAAGCCAGCCTAAAAGTTTTCAGTCACCTGATACTGCCCACAACTTTATGAATGGTTGTAACGAATCAGTTTCTGCATTTCTGTTCCTTCTGATCTCACAATTTACAATGATCTTCCTTCTCAACCCCATGTGTAACCTGTCTGTTACAAGATGGTACTGCATGTGTTTGATAATGTGGGCTGTAGTCAGTAAAAGCTTAAAAGGTAAAGGTTAAAGGTTCCCCTTGACAATTTTTGTCCAGTCGTGTTCGACTCTAGGGGGCGGTGCTCATCTCCGTTTCCAAGCCATAGAGCCAGCGTTTTGTCCGAAGACAATCTTCTGTGGTCACATGGCCAGTGCGACTTAGACACGGAACGCTGTTACCTTCCCACCGAGGTGGTCCCTAGCTAGGTTGGTGCATTTGCATGCTTTCGAACCGCTAGGTTGGTGGGAGCTGGGACAAGCGACGGGAGCTCACTCCGTTGCGTGGATTCGATCTTACGACTGCTAGTCTTCTGACCCTGCAGCACAGGCTTCTGCGGTTTATCCCGCAGCGCCACCACGTAAAAGCTTACGTTATCATAAATCATAACATAAGGTGCCACCAGACTGTGTGTTGTTTCTGACACTAAAGACTGCTATTGCTACAAACCAAACTTCCCAACACAGCCAGGTTTCTAAACAGGAAGTATATGAAATCAGAAGCCTTGTGCTTTTGCTTCCATTTGCGTTTTTAAGGATTTTGATGTTTTTGTCTTGCAGGGTATCAGAGTAAAGGGTTTAATTCTTCTGAATCCTCAAAATCCTTTAGGGGATATCTATTCTCTCTCAGAATTACATGATTACTTGGAATTTGCAAAAAGGTATGATAACATTATACATTTTAAAAAGATGGTACTTGGAGTCTATTGATTCAGTAATCCAAACATTTTAGGCCCCCAGATTAACTCGGAATGTTTTTGATTATACTGTATAAGAAAAGATGTTCGTGGAGGTTTTCTGTAATTCTAGTGAAGAGGGAGTGGCTGTAGCTTACAATATTTTAGTTACACTTTTGTTGTTATAATGTCTGGTGGCAATTCATTACTGTTTCCTTTTTCCCTTCTGTTTTCTGATTGGGAAGCAGACTCCTTACTCCTTCTGTTTTTATTTTCCATTGTTCTAGGCATGAGTTACATGTGATTGTGGATGAGATTTACATGCTTTCAGTTTTTGACAATTCTGCCACATTCCACAGTGTGCTGGAAATGGACAGGTAAGGCCAGTTTTAGTGCTTCGGGCATCTGGTGATAAGAGGCGCCTGTACTAAGAAGTTATGTGAAAAGAGAAGCAGTGCTATTTAAACATTAGAGGTGTGCTTTTTGGACTGCGGCTCCCAAAATTCCCGAGACAGCTGTGGACTCTATGGAGTTCTTGGACCACAAATTTGCACATCTTTTGTAAATGCTTCAGTGGCAAAGGTTTCTTTTGAAGATGGAGCAGAGCCTAGCAGGTTAGAGGTTGGGAGAGTTCATTGGAAATAATGTGATATATTCCCCCATGTGAGAGAGAAAAAAATACTTTCTGGGCTTCTGCAGAAAATATGTCCTTGCTTTCTCTACCAGAAATGAATAATCTACATTACTTCAGAAGCAGCATGGAGATAATGGCTTTTGGGGTTTTTACAGGGGAGGCACAATCTACAGCTGGCCTTGAAATGGTTTGGATTTATGTGGCATTTCCTTCAAGACCTTTGTAAACTGTGGTATGGAAGCATACCATTTGTAGTCAGGATGGAGGCCCTGGAAGTTTATTATGCGGTCTTTGAACTCCATGAGAGCCAAACTAGTCATGGGTTCTGTCTTTTTTGTTTATGTAAATAGAAGCCACAGGGAGACAATCTGAGAAACTTTGGGACAGTTGGTGGTGGAGAAGAAGGAGTTCAATTCTTTTTCTGCCTGTTGTTTGCATTTCCAAGTGACAAATGCAAGTGGTAGTAATAGTATTGATAGTATATCCACTGTATTTGTGTCCTGCCTTTCCTCTAGTGAACTCAAAGCAGTTTACATGGCTCGTCTCCCTCCTCCTCCCTTTATCTTCACAACAACCAGGCCAAGATCACGAGTAAATTTCATGACTCATTGCGGGCCTGAACCTGGATCGTCTAAGTCTAATCCAAAATCATTGTGCACACTGCCTGTCATGGCATCTTTGAAGGCCAGATCTTGTCAAAACAGTCCTGCAGGAGAAGAAAGATGTTAAGCTTCTCTCTCCCCTTGGTCTTAGGCTGCCCAGACTTTCCTTTATTTACCCAATTAATGTCTGGTGTGGAAGAAGTTTTCATTACAGAGAAAAAAATTAAAGCACAGAGCACAATCTATATATAATACCCTCTTCTGCAGTTTTGGAATGCTGGATTGATGAACACAAAGACGTAACTACTTTTTCTAACCTTCCTAAATTAATTTTCCTTCTATCCAGATTACCTGATCCACAGAGGACCCATGTGATGTGGGGAATTACTAAGGTGAATGCTATTTTTAAATGTTCAGATGGTGTTATCTCAGAGACTTGGGTTATGCATGGCACTAAGCAACAAGATGTTGTTTGGATGAAAACATTTATTTGTGTTACGATGGTTTGATTCTTTGTCCCTTCTCTCACTTTCTGGTAGGATTTTGCTCTTTCTGGGATTCGGTTTGGAACCCTGTATACCTTGAACAAAGATGTTGCCAGTGCGATTTCTTCCTTGTGTTACTTCCACGGGGTCTGTGGACCTATCCAATACAAAATAGCCCAACTACTCCGAGACAGGGGTGAGACAAAGAGCATCATGAGACACTGCTTCTACTTCACACCTCACAATATAAGTATATTGGAGCTGGCTGAAAATGCAACATTTTTTAAAAGTGTTATGTTGCATTCAGGTGTAATAAACATCCTGTCCATAAGCACCAAAATATCAAATGAATGAAAAGGAAATGGGATTGCACTCCAGGCCATGAACCTAACCTCCATTCATTCACTGGAATGTATGAAAAGGGCTCCTTTCTAAGTGACAGCAGCCAGATCATTGAGAATTCACCTGGACTGGCTTCCCCCTTTTTAACTGTGCAAAATGCCTGGAGATCACAGATGTGTGGCCAGTGGGTGGACTGACACTGGTCCACAGGGTGCAGTCCTGCTCCCATTCTCCACACGTACAATAGCTACATGGAGGGATTTGTCAGTGTTGTCTTGAGGTTAAATTTAAAATGTAAAAAAAATGGATCATGTAAAGGAGGAGATATGTCTTTCAGGGACTCCTTAAGGCAGTGGTCCTCAACCTTGGGCCTGGATCATGTAAAGGAGGAAATATGTCTTTCAGGGACTCCTTAAGGGGTTAGCTGACATTGTTTTTATCATATGCAGACCTAGAATATATAAATAGATGAGACTAGTGGGATTGTGATCTCGGCACTGTAATACTTAATGGCGAAGAAGCAAAATGTGAAAATAAGTGAAACAGGCATTTCAACACCTGACCTGTGAGAAGGGCAATATTAGATATTATTGATTGGTTTCTAATCTATGGGCTAATTTGTACATGTCTATTTCACTTGATGGTTGCAGCATCAAGGAATGATTTGCATGTGCCAGTGAGTCATCGCGGACAAAGTACAACAGCTGGAAAGCGGTCATTGTTGTTGTTTAGTCGTTAAATTGTGTCTGACTCTTCATGACCCCATGTACCAGGGCACACTAGGCCCTCCTGTCTTCCACTGCCTCCCAGAGTTGGGTCAATTCATGTTGGTAGCTTTGATGACACTGTCCAACCATCTCATCCTCTGTCGTCCCCTTTTCCTCTTGCCTTCACGCTTTCCAAACATCGGGGACTTTTCCAGGGAGTCTTCTCTTCTCATGAGATGGCCAGAGTATTGGCGCCTCAGCTTCAGGATCTTTCCTTCCAGTGAGCACTCAGGCTTGATTTCCTTTAGAATGGATAGGTTTGTTCTCTTTGCAGTCCAGGGAACTCTCAAGAATCTCCTCCAGCACTGCAGTTGAAAAGCATCAATTCTTCCACAGTCAGCCTTCTTTATAGCTCAGCTCTCACTTCCATACATTTCTACTGGAAAAACCATAGCTTTGACTATGCGGACCTTTGTCGGCAAGGTGATGTCTCTACTTTTTAAGATGCTGTCTGGGTTTGTCATCACTTTCTTCCCAAGAAGCAGGCGTCTTTTAATTTCGTGGCTGCTGTCTCCATCTGCAGAGATCATGGAGCACAAGAAAGTAAAATCTGTCACTGCCTCCATATCTTCCCCTTCTATTTCCCAGGAGGTAATGGGACCAGTGG